GTGGTGCGGCCCTGCGCCTCCAACCCCCGGCCACAGCGCCCGCCCCGACGCCCGCGTGGGCGCAGCCGCCTCCCGCCCTCTGGTTAAGCTTCCCGAGAACATCTTCCAAAACTCTGAAAGGCACGAGCTCATCTGCCCTGGCCACCGGCTACCAGCGCCACATGCAGAAGCAAAGCACCTCAGTACCAGCCGCGGAGGAAAGGTAGCGGCGGCAGCGTCCCAGGCCCTTAAGGCGTTGGGACATCCCACTCCTCAGGAGGGAGGGGGATACCGGCAAAGACTCACGGGAACGTGCCCTCCTTTTACAATACAGGCGGCGCACCACCGAAGGACTCCCCCCTGCTGTGGAGCTATGGTCTCTTCCACGGCCTCGGGAATTCTGGGCCACAGGCGCGGCGCGGCCCAGGGCGCCTGCGCGGGAGCCGGAGCGCGGGAGCGGGTGGAGGTCCCGCCCCCGCCCCTGCCCGGCCGCGGCCTGGAGCGGGCCGCTGGTCCGTGAGGCTCCGCGCTCCCGTGGAAACGGAGGACCCGCCGCCCAAGGTCAGGCTGAAGGTCGCCGGGGCTCAGGCGCTGGAAGCCCTGCAGAGCCTTGGCGGGCACGCAGCGAGCATTCACAAGTAGTTGCTCCTGATTCTAAGAAACGTTGCCAGTGGCTCTCTCCCCACAACTATTTCAAAATACCCATGGAGCTTCTCAACCCGGGGCACTGACGGCGCTCCTTGTTGGGGGCAGAAATGTCAGTCCTGCTCTGTTGACCGTGCCTTTTAGCTATAGTTATAAGACATACTAATCATGTTCTGATTAATGGAAGCACATGCTCTCGGGCGGGCAGCTGTACACCTGGGACAGCCGGAGCGCGGCCGTTCTCCTTAACTGCCAATCATGGGAAGAGGAACAGCCTTGCTGCAGAAACAGCGGGGCCCCGCAGGTGCCCGACCCTTTGCAAATCCCCTGCACCTGGGGGCGCCCCAGCCTTTTGCAACCCAAATTTCCTGTGACCTGAAAACCATTAGACACATTCTAATTCCTTTTGCCCACTTCCCCGTGTAATCTTTGTCCTTCCACCCAGTATAAGGAACCGGCTTATGGGGGGCAGGTTAGAGAAGACTTTCATGGAGGACCCTTACCGCTCTCCCATATTGCCGGCAGTATTGGAATAAAGGCTCATACATGATTCCACCCAGTCTCTGCTCAATCGGCTCAAGTGGTGACAGGCAGCCCAGACCCATTGCTGTCCGGTTTCTTCATGGCTTTAGAATGACCTCTGAGGAGCGAGTCATCCTCCCTCCCCTTCTCCGTTCCTGATTCCCTGGGGCTTCTCCATGCCATGCCCCCCTCTCAACAGCAAAGGAAACTCTACCTCTATGAATGTTTTCCTTTCAGCATATGAACATGCCCAGGTTTTCTTTCCCACTTAAACAATATGCAATTGTGCATACATATTGAAAGGTTAACTTGGGGGGAGGGGGGGTGCCTGCAGGCTAAATAGCCATCTCAGATGGGTGAATAAAGAAAAATTAAATTTATTAAAACGAGATGGGGGATATCCAAAGGGAAGGGCTACACAGCACTGAGCCAAAGAGTATTGGGTCCATGATGGCAGCAAAAATACACTTGGGGCAGTGAAACAGGAAAGAGCACAGAAGAAGCAACAGGAGAACCGAGGCTGGGCTGCTTTGGCTCACTGAGAAGCCAGAGAGAGAGAGAGA